TTACTGATACAACTCATCGTACTATGTGAATGAATCAATGAAAATTTATCTGAAGTAAGATCAATGGAATTTACGACCTTAGAACTGTTGTCAAATATGACTTTCGGTCACCGTCGAATGAGTATTAGATGATATTATCATACTGTTCTTTATTCTCATTTTTGAGAAAATTTATATTTGTAAGGTAAAGATTAGCAATTTTGAGGTGTTACCCGATAGCTTACAATAATATGAATCGATCGATCAAGTTTTAGAACGGTTCAGATCAATAACTGAAGAAAAATGATAACCAAAAGCAAAAAGGACGAAACACAAACCGTTTGATTCAACCAAAACAATTAATCAAGCGAATAAACAACTTGGTAACCAATAAAGCAAAAAGCCTACATACTTGAGTAATGTTAAGTGCTTCTTTCGCCAACTCAGGGCCTTTTTCCATTACAGGTATTTCTATTCTACTTTCAGCTGTTTTCGTTATTGGATGATCATCATCATCATCATCATCATCATCATGATAGCCATTCATTTCACGTTTAACTGACAACGAATGTGTGTGCTGGTGACCACTACTTTCGTAGTTGTTATTCGCTAATTCAGCGTCACGTCCCAGTACATCAATCGTTTTTGAATCATCATTTGTGCTCAGATTCATTTCTTCGTCGTTACTCTTCTGAATACAAAACAAACAAATTCAAAGCAAACGACGATTCGGCATCCTATGCCAAATCAAACAAAACATGTGAATGCAAAAAAACCGTTATATAAACAAAAAGGATTTGAACGAAGAAATAATTGCTCAATTAAACCGTGCAACAAAATGCGAATAAGGATAAAATGCGATAAGAAACGTTATGAAAAATTCAATCGAAACAAGCGAGCATTAATTGCAGAAAACAACCGAAGCGAAACCATTAAAGAAGCGTATCAAACGGATGCATATTCTGTTAGATATCGTGCCGTGTTACATTGTTCAATAAATACCCGTCTTCATTCTTATTCAAACTAGAAGTATGATTATTTGCGGGCTCAGTTGCCATTATTCATTGCTCATCTTCCAATGCTACGAAAGTCGATCGCATCGGACGATGAGCAATGAATAGCCGAATGATTGGAATCTATGCTCCCTCAGCAGATGATTAACTACTTCAAATTAGAATCAAGCAATACGACTGCTGAAAATAATTACATCTGTGCATAATTCAGTTAATTTACATCACTTCTAAAGCAAAACTGATGAACTGAAAATATTCGATCGTCGGTACTTGGATGAAATTTAATGATCAT